CTGATGTGAATAAATAGAGTGACATGACGATTGATTTCATAGAAGCAGGCGCTTGAGTGAATGCATACTCGAGACCAGTGATGGAAGCAAAGATTTCTGAGATAGCAATGAAAAAATACGTTGGAATTTGCCAAGCAACAACTATATTGTTAAATCTTGGGCAACCTGGACATGGTTTTGTAAAATCATAGTTTGGTCCAGTAGAATAAATTTGATGTTGAACAAATGCTGCCCATGCCATAGCAATAGAAACACAGATAAAACCACAAGTAATACGAACAATCGATGGAAATTTGATTTTAAATCGTCGCAACGTAGGATAAATTACCTTGTCAAAAATCGGAATAAATACAATTAATACGAGTGGATCGATATTCTGCAAAACATCATTGGGTAAAGGACCTAAAGTGAGAGAGAAGGAAGATTAATCGACTCACTAAAAATCAATTGACTTACCAACATTCATTTGTGCTGCTTGAGATACTAGATTAGTGCTCAATTGATTATAACAGATCCAATAGAATGGATAAAAGAGAAAGACACGGCAAGCTCTTATTGCTTGTTTAAAATCATCAATAAATTGATTTTCGCTCAACTGTGCTATGGTGTTTTGTTCATCTTCATTGATTGGTGACGATGGAATTTCTTTAGCGTAATCTAAAAAATGTGGTCGATCGGCTCGTTTGCCTAATTTAGAACGCATTCGAATTGCTTTCATCAGTACACGACCAGCACGAAGAAGTAACGAACCAGTTGGAGGTGTTAGAATGTATCGTTTACGACCAACTATTAAGACAATAATCGATCCAGTAAATACAACTAATGGTACTAGATAAGCGAGCCAGAATGAATGATATTTTTCGATATTGGTCGTAGCAATCGATGATATTGCACCTATATTAATAGCCCAATAGAACCAATTGAACATCGATTGTACCGTTCTAAAATACGATTAAGATAATCCAAAAAGATAAAAACATCATAAACTTACATTTTCGGATCGATAATTTTCTTTTTACCTTTAATTTCTACAAAAAAAGAACAGTGAGATCAATCTTTTATAACCAACATTTCTCTTCGTACCTTTCACTACTGATTTTGTTACAGTATATTGTTCAGCCATCAATGGACTGACATTACTCTTTACACCACCAGTACCAAGTCCAATAATAGTTATAGCAATGATTAAACCCGGAAAGGCAACACCTGCATGAATAGATGGTGGTATACTCGTCAAGACAAGAACTAAAAGTCCAACCATATAGATAATACATGCTACCATAATTGTTTTATATTTGCCCCAAAATTGATCAGCTAGAATAGCACCAGCAATTGGTGTGAGATATGCAAAAAATTGAAAGTATGTTGTTATTGCAGTAGCAGTCTGCTGCCCACGATCGAGAGCACCTGGTTGAGTATTATTGCCCTTGGCTTCAGGAAATTGTATATAATTTTGAAAAGGACCAGAAAGGCCATAGAAAGCAAAACGTTCACATAATTCACAAACAACAATTAACCAAGCTGATAATGGTATTTGATCGGAAATATGTTCCAAGGTTTCTAATTCTTCAGCTGTTGGTTCTATATCAATCGATTTGTTGGTCCGTCCGATGACTTTCGATTCAGCATTTTTCGTGCTATTCATTTCAACATATTCGCTCGTATCCATCTAGTTCGACAACTCTATTCAAGCTTGCAATTTGTTTGACGGATTTAAGAGTTATGATATTATACTTCGTCTGTATATTATCAAAATAAGACCTTTCTCATTCTCTTCTATCACTCGATTCGGTTTATTCATATCTCTACTCTTTTCAAGGTATTATATATGTAAATGTATCACAAAGATCAGTTATTGCCAGTACTTTGCTCGAAGCCTTGAGATAGACAGAAAGTGTGGGTGTAAGATTTAAATGCATTATACGTGTAAAGTCTCACCTTTGTTAAATTTATTTTGTTTTTTTTCTCTTTCTTTCGTTATATAGAATCCTGTCAGGTTTACTTTCGATTTTTCTCTTTTTTAATACCATTCTCTCGTTGTCGTTCATTTACAATATAAACTCTTTTTTTCTCTAAGATTGAAAAATTATTATTAATCAAATTAGTTCGATCCGACTTGCTATTTATAAATAGAAATAAACGATTAAACATCATTAACAGATATAATCAATTAGTAATTCGATCTCACTTACCACTTGCATATTCTAAGATTATATGAAAGTTTATTGTGATAAATTTTTCTTGAAATAGAGTTTTAAACTGATTGTAAAATATTCTTTAGATTGTACTTATTTGTTTTTTTATCATGACAACCCAATAATCTTCAAGTGTCAATGGGCATAAAACATATTGGTTATTCGCAGAAATTCATACTTATGTATGTAAGACTTCGGTGGTTAGCGAGTGCTGATACTCAAAAGAATTGTCTTACATATAAAATCGAGATCATGAAGAAAAACATTTGCAGAACTGATTAATAAACTTTTAAACAGAAATGGATTGGGTGTGGATCAAGTGAAGATACACCTACACCCACTCTTTACTTTTTTAATTGTTGAATAGAAAAACAAATTCATTTAGAGAAATTATCATAAAAATCAAATCTTTTTATCTAAAAAATAAGATTTTTACTTTCATTAAAAAAATCTTGACAGTATTCAAAAGTTATTGATTTTTGGACGGATAATGGTTCTGTAAATGGATCATGTCGTGATAAGTGATTAAAAATGATTTTTTTTTATTTGTGCTTTTTGACATACATGAAATAGTTTGTTATCATCAAAAAAATATATATTTTAATTAAGTGATGAATATATCATATCCAGATATACTCTCTTTAAATATGTTCAGTCAACAAGTATTAGATAAACATAATGAATATCGTAAAAAATATTGTTCACAATTATTAATATCAAGTAAAAATCTAAATAAAATTTCTCAAGATTATGCAGATAGATTAGTTACATTTGTTGAAACACCACCTAATTATATAGGAATTAGAATAGAAAAGTTATATTATCAAACACTTAATTATAAATTACAAGGCAAATAAGAATTAAAATATTTCCATTAATTTAAAGATTCAGTTTCAGTCGATCAACGATATAATAAAAAAAATAAATATAATTGAGAATATCCTGAGTTTTCTAAATCAAAAAAATTTGCTGAAGTTATTTGAAATGATGCAAAACAACTAGAAATTGGTAGAGTATGTTCCAATGGTAACACAACAATGTTTGTAGTTGTAACTTATTATCCTGGTGGATATATTGAAAAATCATACAAACAAAATATCAAAAAAGAATGTTAACAAATTAATATTCAAATATATTTAATAAAAATAATAGTATTAATTTAATAATTAATACTTCTTTTCATTCATTAGATTGAATAAATCTATTGAAGATTGTGCAATTTTAACAATGGAAAATTTTAATATTTTATTTAAATAAAAGTATAATGAAACAATCGACAGATAATTAGACGAATATATGTATAAATATCTATCACAAAAAGTTTCTTTATTAATTTTTCATTCATATAAAAAAATTCACTACAATCTTTTGAAACAAATAAACTTAACAAAACGTTGCCAATTTTTTCTTCAAAATATCAATATTTATCGTTAGATATTAATTTACGAAAAAATCACGCCTTTCATTTGATTTTAAGTAAAATGCTTCATTTAAATAATTAACATGTTTGTATTCAACAATATGATTCTTCACTACCGACTATCGAATAGTTAGAGCAACAACATATTCGATTTAATCGTTCAAATTAATGAAACACTTGATCATTATTTTTGGTTAGGATAATATCGACCATACAAAAAACATATATTTCTATATCAATAATTTTATTAACAAATCATCAATAAAAAGAAATATTTCAACTTCTTTCTGTACATTAGAACTATCAACTATATATGAATAATATAGATTTTTATAATAAATAAGGAAATAAATACAATACACACATCCTTAGCAGCATCTTGAAAATATCAGTATTGTATTTATTTCATACTCTTACTCACAACTGAACATATGTATGTATAAACGAATATTGTATTCATCTTCGTTCTCATAGTTTTAATCATAATAAAATAAAACAAACAAACGTTTTTAGATTACATAAATATTTATTTGATTTACAAATCTATAAAAAAGAAAAGAATTGTCTATAGTATGATATATATCTTGTCACAATAATGAATTCTCATCGATTAATAGCAAAAACTGTTAAAATAGATCAGATAAATCATCTAAAAATCACTGTTTATCGAAGTTCTATGAATGATTTATGAGAAAAAAACATTTCTATAGATATCACGTATCTATAGAAATTAACTGTCCGTTTACCTACAAGTATAAATCGAATATTTTCATAAAATTCTTTCATCATGAGGAATTGATGTGGTTCGTGAAGATGAAGATTTTATCAAAAAGAATATTAAATATACTCAATACATTATAATGTCGAAGGTAACATACGATAAAAAGGTGATCGATGAGTCATCAATATACGAGTATTCTATTGATAAGGGCTTCATTTGCTGAATTAACTGGAATATGTTTTTTCCATAAAAATCATCGTCAGAACAAGTTCTAACAATTCTATGAGAAAAATAATTTATCAAGATTGATCTTTTTAATATTAATTTTTTAATGATGTCTGCTCTCTTTTTATTAATATGCATCGTCCTTCTTAGCAATACCATTTGTTTACGTAGGTTTTGTGTGTAAAGGTGAAAAAACACGAAATATTTTTCTTATTCGTCTTTTTTTCTGGATGCAAAAAAAAATGTAATTATAACAAGATTTTGTGTGTATAGATAAGAAGAATAAGAAAAATCAGAGTGAATAATTTCTCATTCTGTCACCAATATACACGAATAAAATATTTTTTTTATCACCAAACTTTTTAAATATTAAATTATGAGCAAAACAGAATAGTTTCGGTCACTACACATTTTTGATACAAATAATCGCCTAAAAAAAGACGCTTTTAATCAACAGATTTTTATACAAATATGTTGTTTCATCGTCTAATACTCAAATATCATCTTCAATGTGATTAGATATCTATATTTCTCGTCGTTAAATACATTTAATGATATTTTCATGTGATAACAACCTTGCTGATAGATTGTCTCATTAGATTGATGCTCTTCTTCGATTGGACTGAAAATCTACTCTTATAAATATTCAGTTCGTTTATTATGACACGTGTTGAAGTATTAGATGCACAAAAAAAAAGAAAAGAACATCCCAAGAAATTTATTATCTGTTTATCATTTCAACCATCATTTTTTTTTCGGAGAAATAAATATATTAGATGGTTATGAAAAATCTGGCGATCAAAAATATCTCTTTTTGAATGACTATTTCTATCTAAACTATACTTCTATTGGTCATTATTTGTATTCTAAATTGTGTGATGATCAGAATAATTGTCGCACGGTGTAACTGTTCTTCTTCAATGTACTTCGATGTTTTCGTAATAAAATAAGAAGAAAACAAATGAAGAGATTCTCTTGTTGATGTTTAAGTAGAATTGATTAAATAATTCACTTGGTAAATCTTTTCTCAATCGAATATTTCATTTTTCTAATAAATTCTTTCTCAAATTAAAAAAATATTGGAGAAAAATTTTTCTTCAGATTTGTTTTTTGATACTCAAAAAGAAAAGAAATTATACTTTGAAATAAAAATCAAGTTTGAAACAAGTGAAATGCATCATCGACAACGTAAAATATTCATAGTCAGTGTGTTGTTTCGTTTTTGTTTTTTTCTTAGGACGTTAATTACGTAGGCAAAAAAATATACTTTTTTATACGATTGACATGAAAGCAATGAAAATATCTGACTAGCCCGTTTCGTACTGCTCTGTGCTATGAATAATTGTAACTCGCAGTATTTACTCTTCAATCTTAATATCATTGATAAAAGATTTTTCTAATGAAAACAACTTTTTATTGGACAATTCAAAGAAAAATGTAAGTTAAACAAAAATTTTCTCATTTGACGCATAGAGAAATGAGATAAATCTCGATTAAATTCGTTATTAATGATATCAAAGAGATTTGTTTTGATAAAAAGAAACGTTTTCTCTTTGAGAATAATTCAACAGTCTTAGTTTAAAAGAGATGCTGAATAACTCTTTCTTAAATAAAATCTACATTAGAAAAATTTATCGAAGATTCGACTTTAGCATTTTTTTATAGACAGATGAAAAGACTCTTTTTCCATTAAAAAATTGCAATGCAATATCTTCTGTCAGTTGAGATTTTTTTAAATAAATATTTGTTTTACAGAGCTTTCTCTCTGCAAAAATATTCCAGTCCACAAAAATTCATTTCAAAGAAAAAAAGATGTCTTTTATATTATACAAACGGTAACTCAGAGAGAAAAAAACAAAGACACGAAGATCGATAATATATATATATTCTCTCTTTGTATGAAGGTAGCTTTAGGCAAAGAAGACGCGACACGAACGCATGTAACGTTTGTATATAAAGTAAAAATTTTTTCGTTCTGTTTTCATCTAATTAGACTACTCATATGTATTAACAAAAATAAAAATGTTCAGTTTGCGAGATTGAATTATTAAAAAAATACTAATCAGAATCAAAAGATTATCTAGTTTTAACATCAAACTTGCTTTTTGCATCTAATGAGATTAATACTGGACAATACAAATCAGATAAAAATATAAAGCGAATGCATACCTATATATATGTGTGTATTATTTTAATAATTTCTAAGAAATAAATATATCTCTTATAAAATCAATTGAAAGCAAAGGCTAACACACAAAATATGAAAAAATTGATTTTCGAATACGAAACAGTGTCAAAGAATTACATGCTATTTCAGGGAGCGACTATTTTGAAATAGTCAGATCAGTGTTTAATTTCTGAATGACTACGCTCTTTGTTCTCAGTTAATTTTTATTGTAAATAAATACTATTTATCTATGTTAATAATTTATATGAATATATTTTTGAAGTTGAGAACTATTTTTCTCATATGATGAGGAATTTGAATTTGCGACAAAACCGCTCTGAATGATGAATTCTAAGGGTTTACGAAAGTTTTTTTTGTTATAAATTTTTTTTTACCAAAAAATAATAAGAAATAACTAGCACCAGGATAGAGTGGGCATAGCACCGAGTGAGGGGTGTCACGAAATACTGATCAATGGGTAGTAAGCTAAAAATAGTTTCCTTACGGAGTTTTATGCAAAACTGTTATTTTTTTGTAAAAAAAAGTAGTCTATTAACTTTTCCTCAATTTGCACGAAAGTGTCTATACACGGAACCTTCGAGCGTGTAAATGTTAATCAATCCAAAGAAGATCGCATCATCTTCTTTGATGATTACGTAATAAAAGAAAAAGAAAACGAATATAAAACTCCATTAATTCTTATGAACAGATAGAGAACGAAAAAAAAGATTGTCCTTGATATATATATCTAGAGAAAAAATAGAAGAACAGAAAAAATGTGCACATAAAGGTGATGAAAAAAAAATATACATGTGACTACACAACGAGAGAGAGAGAAGGACAAAGATATTAAATTGTTTTCTAACATACAAGATTTAAGAAAAGTTTGCTGGAAAATTCTTGATGAATATACCGAATTTGAATATCTTCGACAAAATTATCAGTTTACGTAGATTGAAGTAAAACAATTCGTCTTTCTTTAAAAAATGCAATCAATTCCAAGTTTTTCTTTGAGTTATTTCTTATGTTCAGACAGAACTTACCGAATTATACACAAATATCTATTCGAACAAAGTTTATAGAAAACTACACGAAGAGATTGCAATAGTTAAAGAAAACAAAACGATACATGAACTTACACTAATATATCCCTAATCTGCATCTGCGTTCATAGTTTTTCATAATCATATCAAATATCCTTTGGATTTGTCTAAAGTTGACATGTTTCCTTAGAATTTCAAGATTGATAAACTTCAATAAAAATAGGAAAAATAGACGAAAAAACTTCTCGGATATTCTCGTTGACAGAATTAAGTCTATTACAGTTGTTAATTCATAACAATTTTCTGTTGATTTATGTTTATTAGAAATCATATTGGAATCTCTGAAATTTTATTCTACGGAGTATTTAGACTTGTCTACGTAATGCGACTCTTTGCTGATTAAGTTTTGTGAAAGGTTATTTTTAAGCTGAGCTAATTTACATTTTTTAATAAAGAATATTTTGAAAAAAATGTCTTGATATTGAAAAATCTAATCGATTGTAATAATTCTATTATGAAATGAAAAACAATCGAAGAAAATATTAGACACTTTTATTGTTCATATTTTAGTTATTCATAAAAATAAACAGTCCGGCAAAACCCAACCCTTCACTTCCACGTAGTGTCGGATGGAAACGTCATCATGTGACGGCGAAGATGGGCTCTGGTAAGGACCTCAGGGCTAGTCACCCTAGGTTCCTCTCTCACTGACTCTGAAAATAACAATAGTTATCGCCTGTAAACCACGCTTGTTTGCAGTCGACTGATGATGATGATAAAAATAAACTATGTCAATATTCATACCTTCAATAGAAATAAACTCATCCGATCTTGAGAATTTTATTTAGTTTGCATTTAAAAATGAGAAGATTCTTAAAGAATTTGGTGTAATTAAAATTACATTAAATTCTCAATGTCAATTGGCTTTGAAGAAAAGTCAAATTTTATGTATATGTTCAACTACACAAATAATACCAAAAATTAGTAAAGATCAATCGATTTATTCAGTTGAAAAAAAAAATACCAAAAAATATGTTCAACAGCAATTTTCAATTACAGATGAACAAACATTTTGGTCCTTTCTGAAAGATTCCCAAAATAAATTGGCTCACTCAAGTATTTCCCGAATAAAAAATCAAACATTATTCTATAAAAAATTCTCAAAAGACACATTTTCAATTCATTCAATTCCAAAACAATCATTACTTCAATTAGGTGGAAACAAAGTTCTTGATCATATTGTATCATCTCTAACAAGATCAAATGGACCAGGTGGAATTTATCCTCTATCAAATAATGAACACGAATTATTTTCTCTCACATATCATCATCAAGGTGGACCTCTTCATTGGCTAATTATTCCTGTATATCAACGAGAACATCTTAGAAGAATTATTAATGAAGAAAATCCTTTAATTTGTCTTGAACATGGGCGATTATTAATTGACCCATTATTCCTTGATGAACATCATAAATTAATTCAATATCCAAATCAATTTGTTATTTTATCAACTAGAGTTTTATCTCAAAGTTTTACAGAAGATTCAAGTTGAAGTGAATCAATTTCATTTGCTTTACCCAGTTGGATTCAACAAGGTTACGCATTTTACTCTCCTTCACATTTTACTTCATCGATTCCAACTGATCATCAAAATTCATCTAGCGATCAAGGTGAGTTTAATCAGCAGATTTTATTTCTCAAATTCTCATTTTTAAAATGTATGAACATTTACATTTTCTCCCACTATTTCGTCATATCAATCAAAAAGTTTTGATCATAAAAACAATAAACAAAAGTTGATCGTTTATATCTACAAATTTTAATTTAAACTGTAAAATGTTATATTAATTGTTGATATAAAACATTTATTCGCACAGGTTTTTTTATTAGTTCGTTAATGTCACATGTTGAGAAATTCTCAATAGAAAGACTAAAACAGTTATTTTACATGATATCTAATCGAGAGTGCTTTTTTAGATAAAAATCCTTCTCTAACCAACGAAAAGGTTATGGAAGACGTTCATCCAACTGTAACCAAACATCATCAATTATCTTCATTATTAATTGTCTCACGTGTACAGAATTCCTTAGAAAATCAAGACGAAGAAAATAATTCTCAAGGACAAACACAAATTGACAGGTTAGTTTCAAAATTTTCATCGAAAATGATCTTAATCTGAGCGGATAGAATATTTCTTCCCTCGAAATTGTTTTATAAAACCTTTCAAAATTGGTTCCTTCTCAAAACAAACAGATAAGAAGGAGAAAAACAAAACTAATCGTAAGATATTACTACTCTCTTTCTTTTTATCATTGATAAACATGAGTTATTGAAGTAAATCCGTATTTATACGCAATAGAAAGAAAGAAAACGTTAAAAAATATTTTTCTCTCGCATATATAACAAACATCAATGACAGAACGAACAAAATCACACGGGAGTCATTAAGATTTTTTATTTCGAAATATTTTACTCGTTCTCATCGACATTTTGATAAAATAAAAAGAATTGAGCATTATTCTTCTAATATACATATACATATAGATAATCTTCTCAAATCTCCTTAGATTTTATCTGAACATTATCTTCTCTGTTAAACATATATCATTATATGTTAAAAATCTCTCAAAGTTCTTTGCTTTTTCTACGCAATCTTTTTCAATGTTACAGTTCGATGCGTTTGACAAACATCTTAGTCAGAGAAAATATGTTAAAGAAACTGATCTAAATATGAAAATAAATGTAGTTTATTATCGTAGAACGCTGATTTGTTCAGTATACGATTAGACAAAAAAGATTGATGATAAATCATCTGAGAAAGAATTAGACATGTATTAAAATATCTTGAATAGTTGTGCATACAGATAAACATCATTGAAAAGATTTATTCAAAAGTTTTTCATTAATGAATTCATCGACTGTGTTGTTTATACAAAAATCGACTTATATATAAAAAAAAAATTCTTTGCAATACATCAATTGCTTTTTATTGTGTATAACAGTGAAACAAAGATTTTTATTCATCATTGTAGAAACTACATACTTCAGAATTCAACTACTGAAGATTCGTTCTTAACAACATTGACCGAATCAGATTTCGACAAATATTTATCTGAATTTTCGCAAATGTTTGGAGAACAATCTTCTCAAACTGATACATTAATGGAAATTTCAAGCATGTTTAGTGATATTGAGACAAGTCATGAATGGTGTGCCTCATTTGAAGATCTCATGAACGTAAGAGATCAAATATCATCACTGATTTCGTCAACATCTACGCAAAATGAAGAACTAACTGATAGTGTCAACGAATATCAAGAGGGATCATTAGTAAGTTATTACGTTTGTCGTTGTTTCAGAAACATAATGAGTTAGAAAAGATGCCATTTTTGTAAAATTTCTTGTCAATAATTACAAATTTAAGCGAATATATTCATCGAGGAGATATAGATTTACACAAGTGTAATAGAATTTATATAAAAATTCAACGTTTTACGTTGATAGAAATGTTGAATTTCCGTAAAGAAACAAGAATATAAGAGGAATTATCGATAAGAAAAATTTTGTTTAATATTTCGTTCGTATGTAATATTTCACTGACAAGTTCTAAGTAGGAAAAATTGTCTTGTTCAATGAGATTTGTCTGTTAAAACAATGTCTTCAACTCTATTTAGATGTCCACATCATAGATTTCAACAGACACAATAACAACAGCAGAAATTTCCATAAAGAACAATTTGAAGAAAATAAAAACAGACCTACTCAAAAATCATAAGAAAACCCTTGTTGTAACAGGATTACGTGATGATATAAATCAAACTGATCTATCTAATTATTTTCTTGGATCTGTTCAAGTCATAATAAAACAATGTCAGACATCGTCTTTCAAGTATTGTTCTATCTTTAATAATATTCTTATATATGAATATTTTTTGTTTAGATATGCTTTTATTTCACATGGAACAGCCGAGGAAGCTAAACACAATTTTAATCAACCTACTGATTATATTCGTCTTGGTCCGGAATGTTGTGTCAAATATGTGGATTATTCTTCGTTTCTTCCTGCAGATCATCAATCTTATGATAAACAAACAATTGCAGTGACGAATATACCAGAAAATGTTAGTGAAGATGATTTGCGTCGTTTATTTCCCAACTCTCGTATATCGAATTATTATCAAGCACGGACTATTCATCGTAAATCTGCCTCGATCAAGATTTTATGGGGGTAAGAATTATATTCCAATTTTATTTTCTATTTCGAAATGTAGAAGACAAACATTTTACCCTTTCTCTACAAAACGAAGTTTCTCCTTATTATTCTACTTTTTATATTTGAAAAGATGTAGACATTTATGAACCATAATACCTAATTTAATTTTCTTTCTAAAATGTCTTATACATTACGAATAGATGGAAGGTTGAGTTCGATTAGTATATAATAGAGCGATAGAACTAAATGCAATTCGCTTTAACAAAATCCACTATTGTCAAAGAGCAATAATTGTATTATATGAAAAAAAAGATTATAATCATCGAGTAGAAATGAGTGTTTCTTCTAAGTTCGAATTAAAATCCATTCATAAGAATTATCAGCCGTATTTAATATGAATCAACCTTTGAGATTCGGCCCACGCAGATTTTGATCATTCTAACATCAATTAATATCGATAAGTTCATTTGAGAAGATTATTGTATCGTCTTTCATATATAGTTTGTGTTTAGTCTATCTAATAAATAATTGAAAAAGAACATTTAAGAATAATATGTCAAATTGAAATGAACATCTTAATTGTTACTTATTTCTTTGAATTTTAGATATGCGTTTCTTCATTATAAGAATGTTCAACAAGCTGCCAATGCTATCGAAAATGCTCAGCAATACAAGATCAATGGTCGAACATTACATGTTGCTTTTTATTCTAAGAACAATCGATTTGAATCAATTACAGAATGATTCATTGTTTGTCACTTTTATATAATTTTAAATAAATAATTATTACCTGTTGTCATTGCATATTTCACAATAAAGAAGGAGGTGTTTAAGTATCTATCTCATCTTTATATATGTATATGAGAGAGCGTATGTGTGACGGTGTGGATGAGTAGAATCAAGTAATACTTATCACCCACACCCTCCAGGTGGCATATACAACCATACAAGATTGCATATTGTAGTGATATAATATTAGATTCTTCCGATGAATAACAAGTATATACCAAAATGACGAATTAGAAAGTTAGTTTTTTTTCATAAAAAGCAAGAAAAATAGTATCACTCATGAAAAAACAAATTAGTTTATTAACAATTTGAAATGATTGTATTATGAGTAGAGCATCTATTTATTATTATTATTGTGTCTCTATGATGATTTATCGTCAGCGAGTTTAGTCAATGCACAGATAATCAATGAATATCATGCAGCTATCTTTGCTGATAATAAATATCAATTATTTGTAGTACGTTTTGTTTTTAATTTAAACCAGAAATCATGAACATTGTCGTGAACTATTCTATTAAATGAAATTATTAACGAATATTTGATATATCTAAAATAAATATTATGATATGGATACAAAGAATTATTATTTGTTGAGTTCATTAAAATTTTCAGTTTCTATGTCACTAATATTTGACTGTTATGAAGCATCAAAAACAATAATATTGTCTTGTAGGTATAGAGCAACAACATTCTATAGTTAAAACATAGTTGATGATAATAGTTCAGCATCATCGATAATCAAATCGATATGGTTTCGATTCTATAACAATACGAAATAAACTTTATATACATAAAATTCCAAGTCTAAGTGACTTAAAACAGTTTCAAATAAAGGAATCAGTATGTGAAAATATTTATATATGTGTAGAAGAAGAAAAAATTAGATATAGGGGTATTCAGTTTATATATTTTTTTAATAACAGATACTAGGTTAGAGAAAGAAACACAATAATATACTGATCTATACCCATTTTAAGTTCCGTTTGAAAATTTTCTTCGAAAAACGTTTAATTATATTTGCTAGTAAAACATATTCATAAAAAAAGTAAAATTTGATGACAGAGTCGAATTTTCTATTCTCGATTACTTGAGGGGTAGGTGTGGGTGTATATTTTGCTCTCATCTCACTTACACACTCACACACACACTTAAAGACTTGTTAAAAAAGTAGTAATAGAAGTGAATTTCCTTAATTTTAAACTTTAAATTTTATTCATTAAATATCATTGAACAACTGAGAAAAAAAAAGATCTATAACATATTCGACTGTTTATATAATTTGCTTGTTTGAAGAGATTCTTGAATTAATTGTTTTTTTACTAATTAAAAACGTTATTTATTGCTCATTACTGAAACGTAATCGTTGTGCAGGTGAGCCTTCATCATCATATTGCACATTACACCGAGTTGACGCTGGAAGTATATTAATATTAAGTTCAGCTAAACGAATTTTATTCATAACAAAAAATTGTCGTAATTGATCACCATCAAATGTTGGTACAAGTGTTACCTAAATCAATCAAAAAATAATGGAAGAAATATTTAAATAAAAACTTTTTTACCGGTATATGTTCTTGTTTATCCCATTGTTGTTTTCCATCAATTAAAGATTCCAATGTAAGTCGATTGATTTCTACAGCATTTAATACATAATAACGAGCACGTACACGACGAAAAAATTCACTATCAACATAGTGTTCATTGCCATGATATGGAATATAAGCAACATCAACATAAAATATTGGACCGGATGGTTGTGTTTGTTTTGATTTACGTGTATGACTAGTTGGTACTATTGGGGCAGTTGGTTTTTTGGTTGTTGATTTTTTTTCATCATCAATTGGTAATGCTTGAGGATTAATTTCATCAATGGATGGCATTGGATTTTTCGTTGATGTTAATGTATTATGATGAATAATTTCCATATTATCATTTTGATCAAGAAATGGATTTCGAGTATTAGGGGCTCCATCAACAAAACTTATTGTCATAGGATCAGTAGATATTAAATGTGTATTTGTTTCATCAATTGGTGTTGTTGTATTGCTTTCAACAAAAGGTTCATCAGTATCATTAGTAAATGAAACTGATTCTGGACGTGATATTTCATCAGTCTGTTGAATAATATCAGATGATGTGTCTATTTCTTTCGATTGTTCTTCATTTTCCTTCTAAATGACAAAATTTTATTATTTTACTAATCACAAATTTTTATTTGAAAATATAACTTACATTCGATTGTTCTTGAGTATCGGTTTGATTAATTATTGTAGTATTTTTATCATGAGAATTCTGTGTCTTTTTATCTTTATTAATTGCTTGAGTAGATCTTCCAGCTATTGGAGAAGAAGTCTAGATAATCAATAAAGTTAATATTCGTTAAATAAATATTAATCTCTAGTACTTTCTTTCCTGTTGTTGTTGTTGCAGCCGGTGCTGATCGAGGCTTATCGGATTTTATAGTTGTAACTGACGATGGTTTTGGTTTAGAAGTAACCGGGCGAGAAAGATTTTTTGTTGCTTCACCATTCGATGCTGAAGAACTTGGTCTTGGTTTTTGTAATGGATGTTTAGTATTTGCATTAAGATTGTTAGAAGATGTTGGTTTAACACTACCAGCTCTAATTGTTGACTGTGGTTGTTGAGATTCATGTAAAAATTCTAGATGACGACCTCTTGCTAATGCTTCGAAGACAAGAGTTTGGGGACATGCACCAGTATATAGAATGCGAACTAAATTATCTTTAGTTGATTTAGATGTTGGTGTCCAAACAAGAAGTGTACATGATGAATACCAATGATGAAGAGGTATTATCGAGGGTGATGGTTGTTGATCACGAATTGGAATCTATAGAAAATGGAGGAAAAAAAATTGTCTTGTCATTTCAATATTAAATTATCGAAATATTACTTTCTGTAAAATTGCTAATGCTTTATCATCATCCGCTGATGATGCTGCCGGATATAATACATATAGATCAAGTGAACCAAAAGCTATTTTTTTATA